GATCCTCAGCTCCCCGTTAAAGAAAAAAAGAACCAGCATCTCCTCAGGAGTTCAACCACAAAATCATCTGGACTCAACAGAATCAACCAGATGGAGTTGATTCATCTGAACTCAACCGAATCACCTGGACTGATTCATCTGAACTCAACCGAATCAACCAGATGGAGCTGGACCACCACCCGGACTGAACCTGTGGACTCTTGACTCTGGTCTGTCTGCGTAATAACTCCAGGTGCAGCGTGTGCAGAACAAATGCAGCTTCTGACTCCGGGTCTCTAAGCCAATCAGCTGCAAGCTCCCTCCACACCCCCCTCAGATAACAGAGAGAGAGAGAGAACATCTTTCTCAATCTCCGAAGAACTCATCTCATAAAGCTAACACTTATTTATTCATTAACACCTCCAGCCAGACCAGAACCAGCAGAATCCAGCACAAACCAGTCAAGCTGATCAGATTTCAGTTTTACCGTCCTAATTTATATCTTCAGCGTTTCAGATCCTCGGTCACCGAGCCCAAACCTGATTCAGCTCCTCCAGGAGAGTGTTGCTTGTTGGTCTTCAGCTCATTCTCACCCAAACAAGTCTTGAGATAAGAGCCGCACGCAGCCCTCGACAGAGACAGAGAGACCCCCTGCTTCTGCTCAGAAAAATGGCTTTAGATCCAACTGTAAAGTCTAGAGCCAGAGGTTTGGACGGTGAAACTGAAACACTGATAAATATATGATAACGACATGGATCTATTTTCTGGTTTCTTGATGGGAGTTAGAACTTGAATTCTTGGGTGTAAATCTCCAGAATGGATCAAATAACAGCTTTTTTATAAAACCTGAACAGTTCCAATCATGCTGGGACACAAATGGTATGTGTTTATCTTCTCAATCATTAGAGCATTCGCCACTTCAGCCGCATCAGTCCCTGCACAGTTTTTTTTTTAATTCTCTTTTATGTCCTTTATGCGTGAAGGTAACTTATGTTTTTACAAATCCTGATTTTCTTTCATTCTTTTGCTTAGGAAGAACACAGTATTGGTGACACAAACGAATTGTGTTCTGCTGAAAGAACAGCACCGAGGTGTAAAGTGCTCCTCACATCAGATAAACGGAGAAAGAGGTGTTTTTCTCAGTGTTATTGAGTAATCTGCTGCTCTGATGTAAATCTGTGTTTGTGAGCTGTTTATGATCTGAAATCATTAACAGAACGTTCAGAAATAAGAGATTTCTCTGACAGTTCTGCTGAAACCGCAATAACTAAAGCCGATGGAGGCAGTGAGGCAACAGCTCTGAGGAACACACCTCTGAGGAGAGCTGCTGGACTGGCTTCTTCTGCAGGCAGCTTTCCTCATCCCAAATGTGAAAAACAGTTCAGCAGCTCCCCGAACCTCACTCCTCTCCTCATTATAATCTTCTCAGTTTGTATTGTGGCACTTAGTCTAGAAGCCAGAAGGGTCCTGATCACAGCGGAGCTGAAGAGAGCTGGAGCTTTTTCACATCTCTAACTTTGCTGAAAGAGTGGTATTTCCTTGTCTAATGGTGGTTAAGATTAGAGCTGCCGTTTAATGATTGTGTTTTAGACTATAGAACATTTTTTGTGGGCATTTCAGTTCAAATCCGTTACAAACAACGGTGCTTTAAACCTGTTGATTTGTAAAAAATGAAATAAAATTTAATATGCCTTTGTTTGGTGATAACACGTATATAAAAATTGGAATGATACAGAGTAGGGTGACCTACTCCAGACTTTCACTGGGACTTCAACTGGAACTCTACTGGATAGCACACGGCATGTGACTTCATCCGTTCCTGGAGCATCTATTCATGTTCTAATCTAGATGGTACGGTGGTGCAGTGGGTAGCACTGTGGCCTTCCAGTTAAAGGTTGTCCATTCGAGGTTCGCTGGTGACCTTCATGGAAGGAGTTTGCATGTCCTCCCCGTAAGAAGTGTTGTTCCCAGAAATGACGTACTGTTAACTAATATCCCAGAGATAATTGAAAGATGGAAAAAGTTTAGATCTTTTATGTTAAGTGAATATCTTTGTGAGATTGTCTCATTTATCAATGAGTGTTACAAGTGTTTACGAATTGAATTACATTTTATTTCAGAAGTTCATTTTGCACCATTGAAACATGATAAGGCGTGTTCAACCTCCCAGAGCCTGTCTGAATGTGTCTCGTTGATTGTCCTCTCTCTTTTTTTTTTTTTTTTTTTGAAAATCAAAATATGGTCACCCAAAGAAGCTGTGGCTCTTGAGAAAGTCTCCAGTTTTCCCACAGCTCCGGGTGTGTGTTGTTTGATCTCGTATGGGTCACTTCATACTTGGTCCTAATGTCCTTTTTTGCTTTTAATTGGCATGTGGGGGTCGTTCGCTGGTGCGGTGCAGCTCTGAATAGTGTCCGCTGAATCTGGGTTCCGCCCATCTTTAGTTCCGCGCAACGCGACGGAGCACCGAGCCGAGCCATGAGCGTCGATCGCCCGCGTGCGGAGGCGTTGCTACCGCTGAGGAGCCTCCGGAACTCGTTGCGGAGCAGCAGGGATCGAGTGAGAGGTGGGGAACTCATGGATCCCGTGTTTAATCTGGATTCGAGCTGTGTTTGTGAGAAGGCTTGATCGTTTGTTTACAGTTGTGTCACAGTTCGCGTTTCAGAATTAATATTTTATTTATAATAAAAACATCTGAAATAATTGTTTCGAATAAAAATCCCCGAATGGTTGATGGTTCCGTGTTCTTCCAGAAGGAGAGCCGAACGAGAGCTGTGGATCCTTCAGCCTGAGCACTTTCTGGGACACTCTGAGTTTAGTCCTCCTCAGTTTTCCTCTCCGCCTCGCAATTACTGATTCCTGACCCCTTTCTGAGATGATTTCCTGATCTGTGCAGGTGAAGCGGTGAAGGCGACGTCTCAGGAAGCCACTAAACTGAGCCTGATGTTCTCCAAGCCTCCAGTGCCCACAGGCAAGGTGAGGAGCATCTTCAGATCACGCTTTCCAGCCGAGATCTTAAATTCGGTGCAGGACTAAAACTGAGGTTTCCTCAAACAAGAGCTGTTCATTTTACATAAAAATTTAATTCTTATTTTTTTGATCACTTTAAAGTGGTTTCTTTTTCTTGGAGGCACTAGAGACCTGCTGATGTTCTGTGCGTCTGCAGTCGGGAGGAGTGGATGAGACACCTTCTCTACTCCTGATTCAATCTCTCTCTCTCTCTCTCTCTCTCTCTCTCTCTCTCAGGAGTGCATGGAGCTGTGTGAATCCATGCAGAAGAGCATTCTGAGCCTGAGCACCGTGTTCTTCTGGTTGCCCCAGAGCCAAGGTAAAGTCCTGCACGCACGGCGACTGCATCCAGACTATACCCTCCCCCCATCTCTCTATATCCCTCTTTCACTCCCTCTCTTTCTTTCTTTCTTTCTCCCCCCGGCTGTGTTCAGAGTCTCTGCTGTCCTTGTTGTGTGTCGTGCAGGAGTGCGTCTCAGGCTGCGGATCAGAGATGCTACCGTGGATCTCCTGGAGGGTCTGGATCAGTTGCTGGAAGCGGTTCTCTCCTCTCACGGACTCAGGTGATCTACCTTCTGTTTTCGAGCCAGCGGCTGAAGCTCCGCTGGTGATCTGAAACCATCGACTCTCTGCTGGTGCTCTCTCAGCGACTGCCGCTAATCACACGGATGGAATTTTCATTGAAACACTCTTCTCCTCACACTGCGTCTCTTTGTGTTTGTGGAGTCTCTCTCAGGAGCAGCTGCTCTCCACCGGAGGAGTCTGGGCAGCCTGCGACCAGTTCAGCCAGTTGCCCCGAGGTTAGCATCCTGGAGTTCAGATGCGCTCCTTAAACACAGATGACGCTCTAAACCCTGCCCTGCCTCTGCAGAAAACCGCAGCGCTGTTCAGAACGAGCTCACGATGCAGCAACGCCTGGTGAAGGACGCCCTGGAGGAGCTCCAGCAGGTGCGAGGGCGAGCGAATGAGAAGAGAGAGAGAGAACCTTGATCAACAATTTCATATCAAAGTAGTTTAGATTTTATTTTTGCCATCTTCATCCCGAATAACACCAATAGTTTTCCCCAGGGAAAGCAGGAAGTGATCAAAAGTGTTTGCATTCATCCAAAATGTAAGTCGCTGTGGATAAAAGCATCTGCCAAATGCATAAATGTAAATGTACTACAGATGCCAAACCCTGGGAGAGCTGCTGGAGCTCCCTGACTCCCATCATGCAACACTCCGGAAATCCATTACTACTCCCATACATTGATTTTCTCGATTAACTCGACTCTGTGGTGTACGTCGAATAGAATCCAACATTAAAGAAGCTCTAAACTTACAGGAAGTTAATAAATCAACGAGAGTTTCAAAGAGAGTTGTGTTTGTGATCATGCGAGCGTCACCTTCACTCACACCCGTCCATTCATTATTATTAGAAAAATAACTACACGTTGGATTTAATTTAAAACAAAATAACAATTAGACCGAAGTGTATCATTTAATATATTGTAATAGAACTAATCAAATGTATATTTTAATCACTTATTAAAATGCTGTGTTTTGATCATATTCTCTATTTTAGGATTGGAGAATATAATTTTAGGATTTATGGGCATTTTTTAGGGCATACCCCTCAGCTCTACTCCTGAGACCATCTTCACAGCTGATGCCTTTCCAATCCTAGTGGGCCACTGTGAACACGCTCGTGTGATTGGTTGGCTCTGGAGAGTCACAAGCCAATCATTGCTTGCGAATTAACATAAAATAACGAATCACGATACTCAGTGAAACGTGGGAATGTGTTTAATGTTGTCCATACACGCGTTCCTGAACTCACAGATGCAAGTTCCTTGTGATGTGGAACCTCTTCCGGACGTGCTGGGGTGTGCAGGGATTGCTAAGCACCTCGTATACCTTAGCAACCAGCTAATCAGACCGTTTCTATCACTCACCCCTTCATAGCAACCTATCAGCAGGTCAATATCGCAACGTGAAGAATCATTGATTGATAGAAACGAGGTGATTGGTGAAGCTTTCCTGTGGCTCAGGCAGTAGAGCACTGCGCTAGCTACACAAAGGTCACAGGTTCAAACCCCAGGGGAAGCTAGAATCAGCGGAATGTGTTAATTGCTCGAAATCTAAAGCGTCTGCCAAATGCATAAATGTAAAACATATTTTACTGGACGGTCACATGACAATGCTCACTTCTCTGAAATGAACCTGGACACTCCTATGAGCTCTGAACAGACTCCTTCCTCTCCTCTGATCTTCTGCAGGCTCTGGCCGAGGCACCACCAGTGGACGAGGAGGACGAGGAGCACTGGTCCCAGTCTGAGAGAGAGCTGGTCTGTGAGACTCAGGGTCTGATTAAAGCTTCCGCTGCTGCTTTGAGGAAACTCTCCAGCTCCGTCAGGAGCAACGGGAGACTGGAGACGCAGAAGGAGATCCAGGAGTTGGACGGGCTCGCCGACGCCGCCAAACACATCAGCCCTGGGTAGGCCACACACCCCCAGAGCCAGGCTGCTTAGAGCCCCTGTGGCCATCACAAGCAGACGGACCTGAGAGTTAATGCAAGATAAAAAAAAATGATAATTTTTTTAGATAAATGTCACTATTTATAAAAAAATCATAAATTTATTTTTGAAACTTAATAATACTATTGATTAAACGATTCATCTTTTAACGTGCTTGTTCTTTTTGGGAGTCACTGGGGTCTCCAGCTCACTTTTTTATTTTTTATTTTATCAAACAAATGCATTTTCAGACTGAATGGCAGGCACACACGCACACAGAGCCAATCTGAGCATTCAAGAATAAAGAAACAAATCCTAAATGAGCAAAACAAAAAATAAATAAAACAATTATTTATTTATTTATTTATTTTAGTGCTGGACCTGAATTGGGTTCAGCACTTCAGACGCAACTGCTTTTTGCGTCTCCACCTCCCTTACAAGAAATTCGATTTCTGTTTCAGAGAAACTTTTCCCCCTCTTAACTTCTGCTATAATTCACAATGTCCAATCATGGGCAGGGAACGCTCTACTGCGGCTAGCTACACATGCATGAATATTCATTAGCTGCTTTGCATTGACTATATATGGTGTGGGCGTGGCTTGTGTGGGGTGGAAATCCTTATTCCACCTGGGATTTCTATGATTTATATGAAGATAGCTTGCAGGTGTGCGTACAAACACTTTTTATTTTTATCTGTTTTTGTCGTATTTTTTGTTGTGCACGCAAATTTGACCCTTCTGACATTCGTTTAGTTTTAGTCAGGATTTTACGCACACTTTTATAATTGAGACCCCTGTACTTTACTGGAGTAATTATTTAAGAATAGCCTTTTTATTTCAATGTAAATTCGGCTTGTCTAAAAACTCAACAAAACAAAAAGCATCCTGATGAAGCGCACCGTCCGGAAAGAGTGAATTTGATTGTGGTTGGATGAGAGGTGTACACACACCCGACTCCGACGCCTTATTGGTTGCTACATGATCCAAGCTGCGCATCAATCACGTCACACGCTCCAGCGGGAAGTTTGAATAAATTAGCATTCGCTATCGACTCTGTTTTCAAGCAAAGAGCTTGATTGCCACTATTTGCTTTGTACTAAAATGCATTACTTTTTTAAACATATAATTTACATATATATATATATATATATATTTATTTATTTATTTATTTTTTTTTTCTGATGAGGTAGTGAGGTAGTTTCCCTTGAGTCGATACTTTCTTTTAACTTTTGACACCACTGCACCCTGGACATGTCGCCAGTCTTTCAGTGTTGGGAGTCGAGGAAACCGCTCTGTTCCGCATCACGCGGGTTTATCCTGCACACGCATCACTAGCTTCCTATCGCTCAATAGATTTATTAAAAATAAAAAGACAAGATTTCTTTGTTTGAAGACTGTTGAGTCAAGCTGAATTCCACGTGTGGCAGTGATCAGTGGTTACGATGCTCCTCTCTCGTGTGCTCTGCAGCGTCGATGATCTTGCGCTCAGTCTCTACCCCCCCGTGGAGCGACAGCTCGTCCAGGAGAATGTGAGTGAGCCAGTCTCTGAGACGCATTAGCTCATGGAGAATACTGGTTTAACGCTGCTTTCTGCAGGTCTTTAGGTTGGCCGCGATGCTGAGGAAGCTCCTCGAGCTCACCAGGTATCCCTCTTCTTTGATTACGAACCCCCGAAGAAACTGGCTTGATGTTTTTGAAGAGAAGACTTTCTCTCTCTCTCCGTGTTCCAGGTCGAGTCACGTCTGCGAAGAATCTGATGTGGCCTGGGTGGACTTCCTGGACGGAGCTGTAGAACACAACCTGGAGAAGATCAGAGCAGTGCTGCAGACGTAGAGGGACCTGGGGATCCTAAGAGACTGCTCCTGAAGGAGACAGATGTGGTTTCTTTTCTGTTCTCCAGCTGAGCTCTTCGTTTATCTGTATATTGACCCGAATAAACTGCTCTGAGCTCATCACAGACTCGGATCGTTCCTGGAGAAAAATCAGAGGTTTCTGCAAAACACCAGAGCGCTGCCATTAATCATTCATCTTTTTGTTCCCTTTCGGGGTCTGCTGGTGCATATCTTTGGCATGCTCTGGGGGGTACACCCTGCCAGTCCGTCACATGGCAACACACACCTGATGTTTTGTATTTGGGATTGTGGGGGGAACCAGAGTACATGGGGAAAACCCACACAAGCACAAGGAAAATGTATAACTAGTTATTTATATTATTGTTTTAATTTGTGTATTAGCGTAAAAACATTCCACTATTTTGTTTATACCAGTTTCGTTAAGGGAAGAGGAAACCAGAAACCTTTCATTTGCCCTTAAAGTTCAGCTGAAACACATATGTATTTTAATTAGTGGATACAATTATTGTAATATGTACGGGACACGTTCCCCTCGTCATCTCCCAACCTTCGCCCTCGACTCAGTACTATTCAGTCTGTACAAAAACAAGGTCGTTTAACCTAAATCGTTTTTTAAAATTCCATGAATTATGAATATAAAAAAAGTGTGACGCTCATTCGCTCGCAGGAAGACTGGTCGACGTGCGCTGTAGCCAATTAGGTGACTGTACCCAATCGATCAACCAATGAACGCGCAGAGAGGGCGGTGTCTAGTAATCTGGGTGGCTAGCAAACGTGTCAGAGCTGCCGTAAGCCGCTCTCAAACTGTCGTGATTAGTTCACAAACCCCGAGATGCCTTTTAAACGGGTTCAGACTCCGAGTGTGATTCGAGTCTCGAGTGAGTGAAAGTGTTGCGGTCATCCGTGTCCACGAGTCCCCCCCCCTACACCGATCCAGATGAACCCGATCTCCAGGAAGCGATGAACTGCATCGAGCGGCAGACCGTGCTGGTCACCGGAGGAGCAGGCTTCATGTGAGTGTCCTCCGCGGATTTTTGACATCGCCACTAAGCTGCTTGAGGTGGACCAGTTCTCCGGCCGATGATGATGATGATGATGATTTTTCTCCTGTGTTTGTTCAGAGGATCTCACCTGGTCTGCTCGCTGGCCCTCAGGTTCCCTCACTGGAGGATCATCAACGTGGATAAAGTGAGTCACTGAGAGAGATCTAGCTAAAGACAGAATGTTCGTTGTCCTAAAACAAACTCGATGGGTTCTTCTGGATCCGTGGAGGGTCCTCCTCGAATCCTGGTTTTATATCGTTTTCTCACGGATCCGAGAGAAGGAACACATTTGATGTAGATGTTTAGTTCTGAAGACCAGGCTCTTGCCGAGAAACCAGACTGAGCGTGTGTTCTTGATCCAGCTCCAGTACTGCTCCAGTCTGAAGAACCTGAGCTCGGTGGAGGACAGTAGCAGCTACACCTTCCTCCAGGTAGCCCCCGTCTCTCTCTCTCTCTCTCTCTCTCTCTCTCTCTCTCTCTCTGATGACTCTCTGTGATGGCAGCTGTCGTGCTTTCAGGGGGACGTCTGTGATGCTCTGTTCATCGATGGTCTCTTCAGAAGGGAGAAGATCCATGTGGTGTTTCACTGTGCTGCTGAGACTCATGTGGGTGAGTGCATCTGATGCAGAGGAGCTCCAGGAGAATCCTCAGCAGGAGAGACTTGTGTTTTCCTGTAGATCTTCTGTGAGAAGCTTCTTCTGTCAAGCTCTGCACTTCAATAGTTTGGGGTTCTTCTTGTCTCAGCTCTTCCTGATGCACCTCTCTGCAGAGCGCTCCTTCTCCACTCCTCTCCACTTCATGCAGGTGAACGTGGAGGGCACGAGGGTGCTGGTGCGAGCGGCGCTCCAGGCAGGGGTCCAGCGCTTCATCTACATCAGCACAGACGAGGTGTACGGGGAGAGCCTCCAGCAGGTCTAGCACGCCATTTCAGTTTGTCTGTCCAAGCCTCACCCAATTTCTTAGACCTGGAGCATGTGTTCTGTTCGACTTGCTCCACAGGCCTTCCATGAGTCCTGCCCCAAACGACCCACGAACCCGTACTCCAGGTCTAAAGCGGCGGCGGAGAGTGTGGTGATGAGCTTCTGGAGGAAGCACCAGGTACTGGAGCAGATCTCGGAGCAGGTTCTGCTGCTGAGGGATCTCTGATCTCTCTCTCTCTCTCTCTCTCTCTTTGCTCTGCAGTTCCCAGCTCTGATCACACGCAGCAGTAACGTGTATGGCCCGCGGCAGCATCACGAGAAGGTATGGGAGCATCAGCTCCCTGCTGCTTCTCCGCTGGAGCTCAGAGCCTCTGTGTGTGTTTCAGGTCATCCCCAGGTTCCTCAGGCTCCTGCAGCAACGCCACAAGTGGTGAGTTCCACCCCTGAGCTCGGGGCAGCCGCCCGGGGCAGCATTTTTCTCATGCATCACGTGGGGGGCGGCACACGAACTTGGGGGGCATTCGCGGGGGGGTTGGGGGAATCCGTTTCGCTAAACGTTGTTTTTTATTATTATGATACCTGTGCCGCCGCCGCCCCTGCTGCTGAGGAGCACAGAAGAGCGAGAGGAGAGGGGAGAGAAGGGGGGCGCAGGGGACGGTTCACCTCTCCCAAATGAAGCGGAGGAGGAGGGGGATAAACTCTGTCAGTGACAAGTGACTTTCTTACAAATAACGCACACATTTCATTCTTAAAACTATAAACCAGGGGTGCTCC